TCACACACACACACTCACACGCGCACACTCACACGCGCACACACACACACACTCAAACCTTCAGGTGGAGCTTCTGCAGAATCCGGGACAGAAGTCTGGAGAACTTGCTGCTGTCAATGGAGTTGATGTGAATCACGGCTTCTTTAATACTGCAGGACAGACAGAAGAAGCACAGAGTGAGTGAGTGAGTGTGTGTGTGTGTGTGTGTGTCTGAGTGTGTGTGTGTGTGTTTGTCTGAGTGTGTCTGTGTGTGTGTGTGTGTGTGTCTGAGTGTGTGTGTGTGTGTTTGTCTGAGTGTGTCTGTGTGTGTGTGTGTGTGTGTCTGAGTGTGTGTGTGTGTGTTTGTCTGAGTGTGTCTGTGTGTGTGTGTGTGTGTGTCTGAGTGTGTGTGTGTGTGTTTGTCTGAGTGTGTCTGTGTGTGTGTGTGTGTGTGTCTGAGTGTGTGTGTGTGTGTTTGTCTGAGTGTGTCTGTGTGTGTGTGTGTGTGTGTCTGAGTGTGTGTGTGTGTGTTTGTCTGAGTGTGTCTGTGTGTGTGTGTGTGTGTGTCTGAGTGTGTGTGTGTGTGTTTGTCTGAGTGTGTCTGTGTGTGTGTGTGTGTGTGTCTGAGTGTGTGTGTGTGTGTTTGTCTGAGTGTGTCTGTGTGTGTGTGTGTGTGTGTCTGAGTGTGTGTGTGTGTGTTTGTCTGAGTGTGTCTGTGTGTGTGTGTGTGTGTGTCTGAGTGTGTGTGTGTGTGTTTGTCTGAGTGTGTCTGTGTGTGTGTGTGTGTGTGTCTGAGTGTGTGTGTGTGTGTTTGTCTGAGTGTGTCTGTGTGTGTGTGTGTGTGTGTCTGAGTGTGTGTGTGTGTGTTTGTCTGAGTGTGTCTGTGTGTGTGTGTGTGTGTGTCTGAGTGTGTGTGTGTGTGTTTGTCTGAGTGTGTCTGTGTGTGTGTGTGTGTGTGTCTGAGTGTGTGTGTGTGTGTTTGTCTGAGTGTGTCTGTGTGTGTGTGTGTGTGTGTCTGAGTGTGTGTGTGTGTGTTTGTCTGAGTGTGTCTGTGTGTGTGTGTGTGTGTGTCTGAGTGTGTGTGTGTGTGTTTGTCTGAGTGTGTCTGTGTGTGTGTGTGTGTGTGTCTGAGTGTGTGTGTGTGTGTTTGTCTGAGTGTGTCTGTGTGTGTGTGTGTGTGTGTCTGAGTGTGTGTGTGTGTGTTTGTCTGAGTGTGTCTGTGTGTGTGTGTGTGTGTGTCTGAGTGTGTGTGTGTGTGTTTGTCTGAGTGTGTCTGTGTGTGTGTGTGTGTGTGTCTGAGTGTGTGTGTGTGTGTTTGTCTGAGTGTGTCTGTGTGTGTGTGTGTGTGTGTCTGAGTGTGTGTGTGTGTGTTTGTCTGAGTGTGTCTGTGTGTGTGTGTGTGTGTGTCTGAGTGTGTGTGTGTGTGTTTGTCTGAGTGTGTCTGTGTGTGTGTGTGTGTGTGTCTGAGTGTGTGTGTGTGTGTTTGTCTGAGTGTGTCTGTGTGTGTGTGTGTGTGTGTCTGAGTGTGTGTGTGTGTGTTTGTCTGAGTGTGTCTGTGTGTGTGTGTGTGTGTGTCTGAGTGTGTGTGTGTGTGTTTGTCTGAGTGTGTCTGTGTGTGTGTGTGTGTGTGTCTGAGTGTGTGTGTGTGTGTTTGTCTGAGTGTGTCTGTGTGTGTGTGTGTGTGTGTCTGAGTGTGTGTGTGTGTGTTTGTCTGAGTGTGTCTGTGTGTGTGTGTGTGTGTGTGTGTGTGTGTGTGTGTGCAGAGACTCAGCAGCTCATCACGAGTAACAGAAAACATACTGTCATAAATGAACCGATATAAAGTTGGTTCGACGTGTGAGGTTTGACATTTGTCAGAGATTCAACCTCGGAAATCTTCAATAGTTCTTTTACGATTTAGCACAAGGACAAGAAAAATAATGTGTTATAATTGTTTTCAAATGTAGAAAAGAACACACAATGTGTTTTATTTGTTTTAATCTGCGCTAAGGTATTGTAACTGATAGACCTTATAATGTAAAAGTGCAGGATAGGGACCGTCTGCAAAGTGCAAGACGAAGAGCAAAAAACACAATTATTCCATCTAAATGCTTCACTTGTGAAATGTATAAAAAATACATCTCAAATCTAAGGGCTGTGTTTTATTACTAGTTCATACAAGAACATTTAGATGTTGGTTTTATTCACAGAACTATAGCACAACAAAAGTTATTGAAATGGAACGAGTGAGAAAAAGCTTGCAACGCATTACAAAGATTGTGCAGTTTACCGCCCCTAGAGGAAGATATTGCACTTGTTTTGACCAAGTTTGACATTCAGAAGTTGAAATAACTTAATTTAGAATGCACACAGTTTGATATCTAAACTTCAAGGGGTGTGTCTTGTTACTTGTTCAAAGAACAATATTTACAGCCATCTTTTACTATCATATGCAAATCAGGATGCACGCTATTGAATTCAATTTGAATCTGTTAAAACATTCATTTTTAAAACATACAGTATTCCATCTCAATTTCAAAGGGTGTGTCTTGTTAGTGGTTCCTAAACAAATATGTAGATGTTGGTTTTATTCACAGCACTATAAGACAATACATGAGATTAAAATGTGAACAAATACATCAATTAATTTCCTATAGATGCACTCTTCTATCTCAGTTTCTAAGGGTGTGTCTTGATACTTGTTACTAAAAGAATATTTCAATGTTGATATTATTCACATAACTATAAGAAGAAAAAACCTATTGAAATGTAAAAATTGAGAAAAAGCTTAAGATGTGCAGTACACCGCCCCCTAGAGGAACACATTGCAGTTGCTTTGACTGAGTTTGAAATTCAGAAATGTGAATAAATTAATTTAAAATACACAGAGTCTGACATTTCAACCTCAAAGGGTGTGTCTTGTTGCTGGTTCATACAACCACATTTCTATGTATCTTTTACATTCATAAGAAAAATTTGATACATGCTGTTGAATCAAATTCAAACCTATTAACATATCATTTTTGTAAACATACAGCATTTGATCTCATCTTCAAAGGCTGTGTCTTGTTACTGGTTCATAGAATAACAGTTAGACATCGGTTGAATTTGCAGAACTATAACACACCACATGCTATTGAAATGTAAACACATACGTCAATTAATAAAAAATACAAATACTCTTTTATTTCAGCTTTATGGGGTGTGTCTTGTAATTGTTTCCTATAATGACATTTAGATGTTGGTCTTATTCACAAAAGTGTAACACAACAAAAGCTATTGAATTGTAAAA